CAGGTTTCCCATTAAAAGCTGCACGTTGCCTCCTATATGGATGATTGATCGGTAACCATTTTCTATGCCCAATGTAACAAATTTTGTGGCCATTTTTCAACCTGTGACTAGGTGTATCATCGCCGCATATTGGACAAGCTTTATATCCTTTAACAACACAACCAGATAAGTTTCCATAGGCGGGGAAATCATTAATTGTCCACATTAATGCAGCTCTGAGTGTAAAGTATTCTCCATTATGTGCATCATACACTCCTCCAATCCCATCTCACAAAGATTTTAAATCATCAATCAAAGGCTCCAAGTAGACGTCTATATCATTTCCGGGCTGTTTAGGACCGAAATCAATAAGGTCAACATCATGAACTTTCGTTTCATGCACAGCCATGGAGGGAGATTATATGTAACTAAGATAACTGGCCAGCAACTATATCTGCTACTTAGAGAACTGTGGGGATTGAATCCATCAGATGAAAGAGCCAATCTCAAGTTTCTCGGCTCATTACCAAACTCGGGCCATTTATCATCAAGAAGTTTCCAAGACGGGGAATCCGCTGGATGAGACATATAACCGTCAATTGATTTTCTAGCAGCATGCCAAGTCAAACTCTTAGCGGTCTCATGTGATCGAAACATCCTTTTAAACCTTGGAATTGGAGGAAAATACCACACCACCTTCGCTGGCACACCCTCTTTCAAGATTGAATCTTTGCCTTCCTTCCACCTTGAGATACCACAATTAGGACAATGAGTTAAATCCTCATACTCCTTCCTATACAAGATGCAATCATTGGGGCATGCGTGCATTTTCTCATAACTCAGCCCCAATGCACACAAAGTCTTTTTTGCCTCATACATAGAGGCCGGTATTGTATTTCCGTCTGGAAGCAAATCGCCTTGAAGTATCAATAATTCTGTAAAACAGACATCACTCATCCCATATTTTGCCTTCAAATTATACAACTTCACTAATGCCGATAACTTCGTGTACTTTCTACAACCAGGGTACAATGGTTGATCTCCATCCCCAATCACATTGGCAAACTCATAAGGATCAGATCCAAAATCACCAAAATCATTATCATCCATCTCTATTTCTTCAGACACAAAACTGTACCTACTATGGTCATCATCTTCTTCAACATTTCTACTAGCATTAGTAGCTGCTTCCCAAGGTTCTCCGTGAAATGTCCAATTCTTATAGCTTTGGTCAACTCCATTAAAGTATAAGTGATCCCTTATAATTCCAACCCCAAACAATTTCAAATTAACACATTTAACACATGGACAACGGATATGTGTGGTAGTTAGAAGATTTTCTACAGAAAAGTTCAAAAATGCTTCCACCCTTAATTCATATGCCTTCGATCTTCTATCCGAGTGCATCCATGACTTATCCATCTCCGACACTATACCCTATTATATATAATAAAGTGAAAAGACAAGCAATGACCATCACTATAGCAGATTATATAAAGTCTAATAGCAAGTAATATACAACAGAGACGACGGTTTTTAAACAAAAACAGACGTATTTGACATATATAGACGACGGATTTTACGTCGTCTAATTATAACCACGACGGTAGTTAAATAACACCGTCGTGTATAAGTAATAAAAACGACGGTTTAAAGTAAAAACCGTCGTCGTATGCCTAAAAACGCGTCGATATCCAGTTTATTTTCAAGATCCCAAAACCCTATTAAGAACACAACATATACATGAAACCAAGCAAGAAACCAACATATACATGAAACCAACATATACTAAGCATGAAAACAATAAATCCATTCCCAATTCAACATAACAGAGAGTGATTAAAAGATCCGACAAAATGAAATCCATTCCATATTCAACATAACAGAGAGTGATCAAGAAAACATTAAACAGAAAATCCATGAACCCATACCTCCAACAACATTATTAACAGATCGCAAAACATATACCTAAAACAATTTAACAAAACAACGTAATATATCATTCAATGAATTTACAAGGGGAAGAGAGGGTTTGTACTTACAGGTTGGCAGAGCTCACAGATTATGACCAAATTGGATTTGACATAGCCAGGCCCAACTTTGAATTAGAGATGAAGTGAGAGAGCGAAATGTTATGTTGCGCGCAATCAGAAAATTTTAGGGTTCAGGGTTAGAAGTATAAAAATAAGAGCCAAATCTGAAAATTTTAGGTCCCGCGAATATTTTAAGAAAGCGCGTTTTTTAAAACATCGACCGAAAATACAAGCGTCGTTAAAATTTAACATTAAACATGACGCTTATTACATTAAGGACGTCGTGGTAAAACTATGTACCACGCAAAATCAAAAAAGGCGTTAAAACTATGAAAAACCACGGCGGGGTTAAGTAACTAACGACGTTGTAAATAAGAATAAACGACTAAAAGGTAAACAAAACGTCGTTTAAAAAAGAAGCCACGTCGGATTTTTCAACATACGACGTAAACTCAATATTCCACGACTCAATCACCGTCGTTAAAAGTAATACCCTAAACTTTAAAACCATAAATTATATATTTGTAAAATTTAATTTTATAAAATTGTTTATGGTTTTACATCCTAATAAATAACAAGCATAAACCCTAAACCCCAAAAATTATACTTTAACCATAAACCCTAATAAATAACATCCCTAAACCCCAAACCCTAAACCCTAAACCATCAAACTATATAAGTGATGCTATGACTCATAAAAACAATTTTATTTTGGTTGGTCATTTTAAACTTTTATTACACAAACTGCATTTTTTTGGGGTTTAGGGGGAAGAAAATATATCAATGACTTCATAGGAGTTGAAGTTGAATTTTTTGAATTTATTTTAAATTTATTTTTAAAATTTTGAATTAAAAATAATAAAATATTCTTATATCAACAACAAACCACGGCGGGGTTAAGTAACTAACGACGTTGTAAATAAGAATAAACGACTAAAAGGTAAACAAAACGTCGTTTAAAAAAGAAACCACGTCGGATTTTTCACCATACGACGTAAACTCAATATTCCACGACTCAATCACCGTAGTTAAAAGTAATACCCTAAACTTTAAAACCATAAATTATATATTTGTAAAATATGAAAACCTCAGCAAATTGTTTTTTCTTTTATAATATGAAAACCTCAGCAAATTTTCAGGGAAAAAAAGGATGTATATTATAGACAAAATTTGTACATTATATATTATAGACAAAATTAGTACATATAAAATATCAAGTGTTCCAAAAATCCTCTAATCCATATGAAGGCAAACAAACTCTGCCCATTCTTTCCTGACTTCATCAATGGCTGCTTGGGGGTATGGCGCTTGATCTTTTCCCTTGGCAAACTGCAATCCATAAACAATGATTATTAAGCTTTACAAAATAAAAAGAAATTCAGTCACATACGACGTTTTTTTTCATAACCGACGTAGTCTATCGATTCAACGACGGTAATTTTAAATGCCGTCGTTGATAATACAAAAAACCACATAAAATGTTTCTGAAAATTTTATTCTTACCTTCTTCTCAAACTCCAAGGAAGGATCCATGATGATGTCCCTCATGAAGCGCATGACATAATACCCGCATTCGACACTGCTGGGTTGCTTTGGTGTGCCTGGCAGAGTTTTCCAAATTGGTGCTTTACGGCCTGGTCTGCCTATGTGGGAATTATAAATTTTTAAAGCACTGTTCACGATGTTTTTGCCCTCCTCATCAACCACACGATTTCCAGGCAGAGGATCCAGAAAATAGACGGTTTCCCTCTTTGCCCTCACAATCAGCAAGACCCAATGACGACTGCACAAAAATAAAGGTGCGAACTGAAATAGAAACAGACGTGATAACTAATTTATCACGACGGTAAAAAAGAACGACGTGGTTAGTGGTTTAACACGACGCAATAATTAAACAACCGACGTCTTATGATATAATGTTTGATATTTGATTAGGACAAACCTCATATATACTGCAACCACAGTAGCCCCAATTTCTTCCATGCCTGCAAACTGTGTAATATCTTCATGCAAGACGAAGGTACTTCGATCTGCACCAAACACCTCCTTCTCAATGTTGAAGGTCATGATCTTCCCCTGTGGCTTTAGTGTAGTTTCCACATAACCACAAAGGGATTGTAAGGAAGATGACACCTCCACATTTGAATAATCGAGTACTTCATTACCCTGTTTAAAGAAATAAAGCAAAATAAATTGTTGTGGTAATTCATTAAAAACGACGGTTTAAATTAAAAAACGTCGTCTGATTATAATTTAAACGACGGTAATTAAATACCGTCGTTTTAGATTATTTATTACGTCGTAGAAAATAAATTCCGACGTAATGTGAAAACAAACGACGGTTTAAAGAAAAATATTGACGTCTGAAATGTGAAAAACAAATTAAAAAGGCAAAGTTATGAGAATATACCTCCTCGTCATGCTTTTCTTCATCTTGTTTTTCTTCTTTCTTCTCTTCAACATTTGTGTCTTCCTCTTTGCCTTCATCTTTATTCTCTTTTTTTTCTTCCTTCTTCCCTTCATCAATTTTTTCTCCCATCTTCTGTTCATCTTTATTTTCTTCTTTCTTCTCTTCATCTTGATTATCTAAAGCCCCAGATTTCTGTTTTAAATAATAAAGAAATATATATATATAAGACAGATTGTACAGAGAGTAAAAAATTAAACCAAAACGTCGTGGTAAGGCATAACATAAGACGGTATGTAAGAATTATGGACGTCTTAAAATTATTAAACGATGGTAAATAATAAACGTCGTGGTAATTTTATATTACGTCGTTAAGGACAAAAACCGTCGTCTAAAAGCCACAAAGTACGACGTCTAATGGCGTGTAAAACAAGTAAACTAAATACGACGTGGTATTTAAATAAACACGACGGGTTATTTATAAAATCGTCGTGGTATGGTTTTAAAACGACGGGTTTATTCATAATAACGACGTCTAATGTTTAAAAAAAAACAGAGAATTCAAAGTTCAGATATGTTACCGTTTGTTCCTGCTGTTCCCCATTTCTGGCAGTATCATCCTCTAAATGTAGGGATCTCACTTCAGCCCCAAAACAACTTGCTTTATCAGACATTGGATTCATGGGACTTTGCTGTAGACCTTGGTTTTGACAGGGGCTAGTTTTCGGTTTAAGCATGCTTGGATCAAAATTGGGGATGAGGTGGGAAAGCTGACTTAGTAAATGTTCCCTCTCAGCCTCTACTAATTGTTTGGTTCTAGCTTCCATCTTCTTAGTCTCTTCTTGAAGGACAATTCTTACACTTTCCTTCAATTGATCAGCAAACTTTACCCTTTGTGGTCTAGGTAAATTGAAGAATTGCCTAGGGGAAATCCCAGCACCTACCCCTCTTACTCTCCCTAGATGCTCGGGACCCAAAGCCAAGGTCAACACATCATTACTGCCAGTTATACTCAGACTGCCTTCAGCCACTTGTTTTTGCAATTCATCCTAAAACAAAGACAAAAAAAAAGTCAGCACAAGAAAATACACGACGGTTATTTATAAACAAACGACACATTATATAATTTCACACGACGCACCAATATAGAAATCGACGTTATAATATATTTACAACGACGTTAATTAAAACCGACGTGGTTAGTTGTTTAAAACGACGCAATAAATAAACCACCGACGTCTTATGCTGTAATTACAGAAAACAGAGTTGTGATTTCAGATTTAGATCTTTCACGACGTTTTTGAAAACATTTCGACGTAGTAATAACATTAACACAACGGAAAAAATTAACCACCGACGTCTTATGCTATAATTACAGAAAACAGAGTTGTGATTCCAGATTTAGATCTTTCACGACGTTTTTTAAAATATTTCGACGTAGTAAAATAATTCACACGACGGAAAAATATAATATAAGACGTAATAAGAATTCTACACAGTTTAATAAAATTTAAAACAGAGTGTGTAGGCTTACAATTAATTTTGCTTTCTCTGCCACCTTTGGATCCGGGATGTTACCATGTTTGTCCTGTCTAGCTTTCTTCCATAAGGTAGATCGATCAATTTCTACCCCAGGCATGGTTTCCTCCAATTGATCCTCCAAACCAGCATATCCTTTTCGAGACAATCGATGATTGTACTCAAGTTTCTCCCTAATCTGTGAATGTTGAGAATGCACAGACTCAAATTCTTTGGATAACCTTGAAGCTACAAAGGCATCCCATTCTGCTTTCTCTATGAATTTATATACTGCAGGGGGTTGGCTTAATTTCTCCCTCTCCTTGATGTATGGAAGGATATAATGCCTCGTCAGTGTAGACTTGAAATCCTTCCATTTCTTGGCAGCAGAAGATAACACCGAGGTCTTGCCCCCTTGACCTACCACAAAAGCCATGTTAACGGCTTCCCAAATCTGCTCCTTTATATCATTGGGGATGTCAGCCCATTTCTTGTCCACAAGTGGGACTCTGGAGCGTGCCAACACACCAATGTAGGACTGCATCTCAGTATGTGCAGGGCCACATCCTTTCCCCCTTTTATTGTACTCAACAACTGGCTTGATTTTCTGCAATTTTCTCTTCACAACACGAGGCATTGTGCTCATACCTCGACCTGACTTTGAATCCTCAGAAATTGTTGTCGTGCTGCTTGGTTCTTTCTCAACAGATGAAACAAACTTCATCTTCTTCAAGGGCTTGTCTTGAGGAGTTACCATTCCAAGCTCCTTACCTCCATTTTTTTTGGAGCCAGAGTACTTACTTTGGTCTTGAGAAACCATGGTTACAGAATAAACAAACCTGCAAGTGAAAATATTTCGTGAAAAAAATTAGAACACAAACGACTGTTATTTATAAACTACGACGTATGATAAGATTTTACACGACGGAATAACATAACATCAGACGTAATAAATTATTAAAGAAGAACAATATAAATGTTTAAACAACGACGAAACAATATTAAATAAGACGTAATAAGAACTTATTACGGCGATATTTACACGACGTCGTGATATTCATATTAACACGACGTAAATATTAATATAACGTCGTGTTATGAATATTCACACGACGTGAATAATAAGCTACCGTCGTATTTATAAGAAACCAAAAACATTTTTCTTTCTTTGTGAATGTTTGATTGCAGGTTTCATTTCTCTGAAACATGGTTTTTGTTTTTCCTAATTTGATAAAATACAAAGAAAAAAAGCTTTGGCATCTTTTTATAGACGACGGTATCTTAGTATAACGTCGTGGTATGAACATTCACACGGCGTCAATAATAAGATACCGTCGTCTATATAAGATACCAAACCCTACTTTCTTTGTCTCTGTATTTTATCAAATTAGGAAAAACGAAAACCATGGTTCAGAGAAATCAAACCTGCAACTAAACAAGCAAATAAAAAATTGACCGTCATTTTAAAAACAACTTAGATCAATTTTAAGACGACGCTAGGACGACTGACGAACCGTCGTGGTCTACATATTTAACCACGTAAATAAAAAGCTACCGTCGTCTTAGTTAGTTGAATTAGTTATGTTCAAAGTTCAATCTTTCCCTCTCTGTCTGTGTATTTTATCAAACTTGGAAAGAATAAAATGATTTTCGCCAGAAAAAAGGTAAAAAGATTTTCAAAACAAAAACAGTATGAGCATGCAATATAGCAACAAAAATAGTGAGAAATGAAAGCTTACCTTTTGCGTGCAATGAAAGCTTTCTCTCGGATTTTGGTGTTTAAGTTCAGAGGGGACGACGAAGACAAGAGGAAGACGATGAGATACTCTGACAGTGCTCTGACAAGGAAAAAAGACGAAAAGTTTTCTCTGGGAGATTGAAATGTTTTCTCGGGTTTGGAAACAGTGCATGTGTAAGTCAGGTAGACGAAAAGTTGTATATGTATACAAACCGTTTCATAGTAATTAGACGGCGGTTTACATAGAACGACGACGTATTAATAGAAAAACTACGACGCTAATTTGAACTTATGACGTGGTACATAAATACGACAATAGTGTTGTAGGTACCGCCGTAGTAAACTCCTAAATAAAAGTCGATAACTCAATATCTCGCGTCATGGTAGAAATATTTAACACGACGGTTGTTTTAAATTTACGACGTTTATTTTTATAATATACGTCATTTTATTGTAATATACCGACGTGGATAATACTAAACTAAAACGACGTATTATTTTTTCCACGATGTGGATTCGTTTTTAAACGTCGTTATGTGTAATATAACCGACGTGGATTTTATTTTTTATATTATAAATATAATTTTTTTCCCCTTTTTCTTATAGTTTATTTTTCAAAAACAGTGCCTTATAGATATAGTTTTTTTTCCCGAGGAAATTAATGTTCTAGAATTTGTAAAGTTTCTTTTCTAGGTGACTGATTTAAATCAAATAAAAATATAAAACAACGACTGTTTTTGTTATACCGTCGTCGTTTCTTGTCGTCTTAAGTAAGAATAAAACGACGTAATGTATTTGTTACCGACGAGGATTGTTTTTGTTAAACGTCGTTATGTGTAATATAACCGACGTGGATTTGGTTTTTTAATTATAAATAGGGTTTTTTTCCACGGGTTCTTTCAGTTTTAGTATTCGATTAGGGTTTCAACTTCTTCTTGCCCCTTTCTCTGTCTCACCGTCGTGAAGTTTTAGGAGTCAATTGTTTGGATGTGAATGTGTGTGTGCGTTTGTGTAGATACACAAACGCACATACATCATTCACTTCCAAAAAATTGTCTCTCTGATTGCAAATCTGTGGCTGCCGTCGTGAAATTTTAGGAGGCAATTGTTTGGATGTGAATGTGTGTGTGCGTTTGTGTAGATACACAAACGCACACGCATCATTCACTTCCAAAAAATTGTCTCTCTGATTGCAAATCTGTGGCTGCCGTCGTGAAATTTTAGGAGGCAATTGTTTGGATGTTGATGTGTGCGTGCGTTTGTGTAGATACACAAACGCACACATATCATCAACTTCCAAAAATTGTCTCTCTGATTGCAAATCTGAGGCTGCCGTCGTCAAATTTCAGAAGCAATTTTTTGGATGTTAATGTGTATGTGCGTTTGTGTATCTCAAAGACACAAATACACATACATCATTAACCTCTAAAATATTGTCTTTCTGGTAAGATTATGATGAGCAACAGAGTTCCATCTTGTAAGATTTCCTAACCCTTGTGATCTCAGAATAATCTGATTATGTTGGCGGTTTTCTATATAAACCGTCGTGGTTATTTCAATTCTTGTCGTTAGGTAGATCTACCGACGTAGGATAACAAAATCGAAGAAATAAATTGTCAAAAAAAATTCTTATTCAGACGACGGTTTAAATATAATGTATGACGTATAAAGTGGACAAATACGATGTTAAATTCTATAATATGTCGTTATATGAAAACCCCAACTTGGTAAGATTTAAAGATGTCGTCGTAGAAATACGAGAAAGACGTCGTTATATTTACCTTTTCCGTAGTTGTACATTAATTTAATACGGCGGTATTTTGTATTTTACCGCCGTGGATTTATTTGTAATTATACGGCGTCTTATACGAAAACTTGGTCGTGTTAATTTCTGGGTAAAAACGACGGCTTTTTGTGAAACCGTCGTCTTTACTTTCTACGTCGGTCGGTTCATAACTTCCGCCGTTATTTGTTGGCTATGATTTTACCTCTTGAAAATCCTATTTCAATAAGACGTCGGTTTTTTAATTAAGTACGTCGTGTTTTAGGAACAGCCATTTGAAACTCCATTTTTTGGTTGTCTAATGTGTTATTACACGGCGGTTTTATAAAACCGTCGTCTTTTAAAAAACAACGACGGTTTTCACTTAGACCATCGTGTTTTTCTGGTCGTCTTTTTTACTTTTTGTAGTAGTGCCGTATAAATAGTCCGCGAGGTCCAGGGCCATCCACTCATGACTCATGCTTATCTATTTTGGAAGCTGAAGAAACTTGTCATGCATTTCCTTTTCAAAAGTTCTCCTCGTCGGGAAAAGATGTTCTGGGACTTGGTGGAAGTTGTAGTGGAGGTTTCAGACAGAATGCTGCTTCCAAAGTATTCAAGTTCCCTAATGCAGCCAAGGTTTGCTGAATTCTATACATACATTTCATTATGTTATTGCAATTGATTGGTATGTTGCTTAAATCTGGATTCATATTTCAAAATCAATTGGCTTCATCAAATTCCGGAAAGAATAATGATACAATATAGATATGTTTTTTTTACCTTTTGAAAAACGTGGGTATTTTTCACTTACGTTTGATTAAGAAATGGTAAGTAGGGTGTACTTGTTAAAATTACATTTGTTTCACAATTCAACATATCCTTTTTGGTCATTTTATATTAGGGTAAATTAGTAATTTAATAAATAGTTTGGTAATAGGGTGTACTCAGTTAATTTTAGTATTTGTTTAACAACACTCTTTGAAACCCATTCTCAAGCTTCTAAATCTTGAACCATGTGTGTGCCATGGATTTAATTTGATTTTCTCATTCTATCTAAGATCAACTTTGATAATATTTTTCTTTTTTACTGATGAACAA